TATATATATATATATAGTTCACATTTGATATACATACATATTAGTGTCCCTCCCAATAAACACTCATGGGCATGTCTATGACTAAGAATGTATGTGTTTTTGTGTGTGACAAATTAGTATCTTTAACGAAAAATTAATTTTCAACTAAATGATTGCAATTTTTCAGATCCAGCTTACTTGAGCAAAGGATCCTTCATGGCGATCGATTGGATCTTTTTTCTGTTCACAACAGCTTCTGGTCTCTGGCAGCAACATATCATGTAAGAAGAAGAAAATTCTAAACATCATAACAGACATCTTCATTAAGTTACAGACAGCGAATCATCATTTTTCCGTACTTGAAAGTCCGTAAAGGGAAACAATCTATTGAGATTTGAAAAGGGGAAAAGAACCACGAACATACAGCTGGTGACATGCTCTGTATTTTTCATATACGATAGAAGAAAAAAGATAAGAAGAAAAAATGCGTTTCATTCTGAGGTTCATCGTCATTAGTGTGATATATAACTCATTCATTAGAGAAAAACATGCGTTTTTCGATTACTATGAACATTGGTAATGCCTGTAATTGCCTCTAAAAGATTTCATCCGCATTATGATGTATACTCGTATTTTAATGGATCGACGATTGTCTGCATACCAGCGCCACTTGAAAAGTGCAAAACGACAGCTGCAAGAAATATTAATTTCGGATATATCAAATGATACATTGTACCAAATATTATTTTTACATTGTAATGAAGGGGGGGGGGAAACCCTGTTCGGAAATTATTTCAATCAATATTTTTTGTGCAATATGTATAACCAAAACGGTTCCAGTAAATTTCTAACTGATATCAATGGCAAATGAAGTATTCTACTAGAAGAATAAAGAAATTTCCAATTTCGAAACAATGTGGATGACTTTCTTATAGACCAGTTCGAGCCTTTTTGAAAACATTATTATAACAGTTTATGAGACTGTGGTAGAAAAATACCTTCTTCAGAACGCAACTTTGTTCATAGAAGTGATCAGTTGGAAAAACAATACCCATCAGTGTTTTGTGATTTTAAATTAGCTTATCCTTACTACTGATGCCATCACATTTTATATGAATTTTATTATTTTTTTTGTTAGAAATTTACATTATTATGAAAATTTATGCCTGTATTTTGAAAAAAAAAAGGAATAACGAATTTTGTGTTATTATACCAGAATTAAGGAAATTACACTGGAACACAAATTCTTGTTGCATTTATACAAGTACTTGATTTTACCTGATTTAGGTATTTCAAATCTGAAATTTGTTTGGTAAGCAACAGATTTTTTTTTAAACGATATTTTTGATTATTGCCTTTTTCTTATCACTCCCTACGTAGTATAAAAGTGGGGACATTTAGTATTCGCTCGAGTAAATTTTTAAAAGTTTTGACTAGGAATATATTATTGAAGTTGCCTAAAAACTGTAGATTTGAAATCAGTGACACGAAAGTATTCGATCTCGTATTCTCCAGTGCTAATTTTAAATGTATATTTCGCTCAGCTATGAAATTTAACGTCGTTAAATTTCATAGCTATAATAATTGGTTCTTCGAGGCTAAGTATATTTGTCCAATAGATTTGGACAAAAACTACACCGAAGAGCCATTACATTATGACCACCCTGCCAATAACATGAAGGACCACCTTTAGCCCTCAAAACTGCTAGCACCCGCCGTGGCATTGATCCCACAAGGTGCTGATAGGTAGTCTGAGGTATCTGGTACCAAGTGCTCACCAACTGGTCCTGCAATTCCCTCACATTGTGAGGGGGTAGCGTGGCAGCACGAATTTGATTTTCCAAGTAGGACCACAAATGCTCTATGGGATTAAGGTCAGGTGAATTTGGAGGCCAAGACATGACTTGAAAGTCACTGGAATGTTCCTCGAACCAATCCATGACGATTCGACCCTTATGACATGGTGCATTATCCTGTTGGTAAACACCATCCCCGCCAGGAAAAACTGTTGCCATGAATGGGTGAACCTGGTCTGCAACTATGTTCAAGTAGCTTACAGACGTCAGGGATTGTTCTATGAGGATTATGGGTCCTAATGTGCCTCATGAAAACATTGTTCCAGGGTGAGAAACCATGAAAACCTGGGCGAGCCCATTGTTATAGATGGAGGGTGGTCGTAATGTAATGGCTCTTCGATGTATATTTGATCTTCATTTTTAGAAAAAGTGTATGACTCCATTTTAAATAGTGGCAAAAGTCGAAACTGTTTATGTCATTGTAACATAAATTTCATGAGATACAAATTTGTGAAATAATTTTTTTTAATTTTTAAGTGTCTGTTGTAATACCTATTAAAAATTTAAACACTTTTTGTTAAAATTAAAAAATTATTTTTGATTTCCATTTTTAAGACTTTTTACTATATAAAGCAAAGTTTATGGTGCGATTTTTGAAAGTAGAAATTATTTCATGAAAAAGAAATGTATGTTATTAACATTTGCAAAATATAATTTTTAAGCTTCTATTACAATTAAGTTCACCAAAATAAAGCTCATTTTTCGCTGAGGTTTTAGAAAAATTTATAACATAACTGCAAATTGTATGACATCATTTTAAAAATTGACACAAATCGAAATTATTTTGCTTTATATAGTAAAAACACAAAACAACCTTTTCTCATTGGCCTGAACTTCACTCATAATTTTATCGAAGATACTTTGTTTGTCATCAGTATAAAATGAATAAGAATTGTATTTCTTTTAATCTGTGAAATAGTTTTTTTCATCCCTTATTTAATGCTTATCGAGCGGAAAATAGCGTATTCGATTTTAACTAATCAGTTCTATAAATGATTTTGATTGGTGCTCTAAACATTTCAAAAATCAATAGTCTTCAAAACATGTTCTCAAGTTCCAACAAGACACCTTTTTTCCTTGAGTGAATGGGAGTTATTATGGCCATTCACACTGCATCTGATTGTGTGCTCATGACTTTTTTATACTAAAAACTGTGTTATTTTAAACTACACACATGTGAGACAAATGACTCGCTCATGCGCGATTCGCATTTACGTTCGATCGAACTTTATTTAAATCGTGCTAGAGCATCACAATAGGCTATAAGCGACGGTTTGGGAAATTTCCCAGAGGATGATCCGAAGACATATTTCACAATTTTGATTCTTTACGAAGCGGATGATTCCCCGCTTTGGTAGTTGGACGACCTGCCCGCGAAGTCGAGCACTTTACGATAGAATATTCTAACTAGGACCGACGCTGCGTGCCCTTGGTCGCTCCGCAGGCTGACCAAAGAGGTTATCCACCATTTTACTGAACGCTATCAGTGATGCTTGACTTGAGTGTTCCATTGGGAACCGCGTCTTTACGACAATCCTCTGTGGGACCCATTACTTTAGATTTTGAACTATGCTGCGATAAATATTTACGATTTTGCGAAAAGCTCGATTAACAATTAACTTCATAAGATAAACAAAATTACTAACTGTACATGAGGGACCTTCAAACTGTACGCGAAGAATTGGCGTATGTGATTTCAATGATGCGAACGAGAACCTGACTGATGAAATTTATTAAACAGGGTTAGTCCGATGTCACTATCAACACGTCACCCAAAGTGTTCCAATGTACAGGGTTAGTCCTACGTTACTTCACGACGTCAACAACGAAACTTTCTCTGAAGCGTTCCAATAGTAAAATAGAAGCGAAGTTTAACATGTTGTTTCCTGTTGAAACAGAAGTGACATATGTTTTTCTTTTAGTTTTAATAACAAAATATTTTGTTAAAATTTTTTAAGGGTCTGGGTTGGATAGAAAATAATTAGTTTGATATAATCGTAAAATTCATTTTCAGCTTAAGGTTTATTAAATTATTTTAAGTGAAAGATTAATTATGAGTTTTGCTTTACAATAGGTTCGGTTACGTTTGAGGAATTCTTCGTCATTTTATTATTGCTTTAATTTTTTTGTTAAGGAACCAAAATTAATTGAGTGAGACGGAAAGCAATTCATGTGGATTTGCAGAGCAGAAAATAATTGAAAATGTAAACACAAAATAATAATAACTTCAAAAAAATTTAAAAAAAACAAAAAAAAGTTCTTTAACAGTTAAGAACTGCGTGATTATCCACTCTTTTTTTCTGGGGGGGGATAAATTTTTACGAACATAACATACATTTTCCAAACCTTTATAAAATAAAAAAGGAAAAATATTAGAGGTCGCAAGCTAATATAAATGTGAAAAAAATCTAATTATACTGACTCATTATAGAAAGTAAAAAAACACGTGTGATTTACTAAACTAGTATAATAACATATTCGCGAACGCAACGACCTATAGGGGGCGTTGTTATTTGAGACGAATGACGGCTGGCAGAACAATACGATCATCAGTTGAACTGGAGATGTCTTCAGTGTAGCATTTTAACGTTCCTTCTTTATTGTGGGTTATTAAATTTAAAAGAGAAAAATGTTTGATATTCTTTCTTAAGCAAGCGAATACAAAATGAATTTTTTTTAGAGAAGGAACATCCAAAACACATCGGATTAATATTCGGGGGAAATGTTTTTTCACTATTATGCAGATTGTCTTTTGAACTTAGAAAAAAAGTATCGATGCTCTGGATTCCTTTCTTCGTACCTATTTCTAGCAATAAGCTAGAGAAAATGCCAACAATACTAGGGAAACACAAGTATGAACTTCAATAAAAAAGAGTGGTAAAATTGAAATTCAACATTTTCATCTTAACTTTCATGAAAAATAGATAACTCCATTAACAACTCTCCCCCCCCCCTGATTATTTAGATGTTTAGACATTGATTTATCGACCGAAACATAGCACCAAAGATTTTAACTTGCTATAACTAACGATATGTTAGATAACTAACATTTTAAAGAATTCAGAAATAAAAACAGTTCAAGAAAAATAATGCGTAGCAATAGTTAACTTTATATTAAATCGAAAGTTACTATCATCAACGCTTTTTATTATTCGAATTTCGAGAAAAGGTTTAATAAAATTCCAGATCCAAATATAACTACGTGAAAAATCGCAATTAAAAAAATGGCAATATACAATTGAAAAGTTTTTTCGCATAATTAATATGAATCAATAACACATAACAGCAGTATATAATTTTATAAAATCCCTGATGTATTATAAATTAGAATTTTATAAAAATAAAGAATGAGAATAAATCAAAATATGAAGAAAGATCGTCTAATAAAAGCATATCTAAAAATATCAGAAATAGTTTGTCTATAGTAAGAACTCCCTTCGCCGCAAAGTCTCAGGACGTCTGCTGCTATAGAAACAGTAACAGCGCATTTCAGAAAGGTGCTTCGATGACAGATTAGATAGGAAGTTTACCCGATTGACTGACTCAGCTGCCCGTAGTAGACTTATTTAATATGATTTTGGAACTTTTTTTAAGATTCGCATGGACCTTTAAGAAATTTACTTAAAATAGTGCTCTTTACGCAAATTGTTGCTATTTTTTTAAATTTATAATAGAAAAAAGAAGAAGAAATTTAACATATTCTGATAATGTAGTGACACTTGAAATAATATATTATTTATATTATGTATGGTGCAAATTAAGTAAATTTATTTTATTTAAATAGAGGATTTGAAATATATATTATGTACTTGTATTTGGATATAGTACTTGAGTGAAAAAATAGGCCATTATTATATTTCATAATAAACAAACTATGGCCAAAAACAGAATCAATAGTAGTTAAATTAAGGGGAACGTGATCATTAAGTAAAGTGGTGGGATAACAATAACCCAAAAGGTTCAAATGGTCACAAAGTGTGAGGTTTGAACAAATTGGATAAATTGGTATCACCAAAATTGGAATAAGGTTGAAAACTAAAATTAATTAAAATCATCGATTAAAAGATAAATAAGGCAATGATGTGCCTGTAACGTATATCCAAATGTAAATATATCATTTAACGCAATTTAGTGATGTTTCCAAAGAGAAATAAAACAAATACGCATAACAATAATAAAAAGTACTCACCACGTACTGGAAAAATAAAAAAAACGACCATCATGAAAAGAGAAACAAATAAAATCACACGTTTCTTCAAATTACTCACCACAACTTTCAATTATCAATAATAAACTAGCAATTTATTTAGAAAACATATCTTTTGCTAGATTTCGAAACACAAAGAAGGCCTTTAATAGAAATGGATGATAAAGATTATTAAAAAAGAAAAGGCGTCATGCATAAAATAAAATATAAGAGTATGAGAAATTTAACTGTTGAAAAAAAAAGATAAATATAGAAGAATAATAGAAAGAAAGCTTAAATTTGAGAGGATCTTTAATCTTAAAGAAAATTAAAGGTATTTTTTCCAATGTCCACCTGGGGACTTACGTCATACAGGCATCTGAAGGGCAGATTTGTTGGCCACTCTTTCAGGGACACCATATTAGGTGGGCCAACGTTGCTCGATCCCGCAGTAAGGACAGATAGTACACAGAAGGAAAGAACATCCATGCCTTGAGCGGGATTCGAACCCAGAACCTTTCTGATGCAAGGGCAGTTCCCTAACCCCTACACAGACCGGTCGGCAAAATTAAATTGCATAAATGTAGATATTTCCTCCATTGCACCTCCAATGCAGGTATTCCTCCATTGCACCTCCATTACAAATGTGCTTTCCCTGTTACCATAGCAGCAGACAGCCCCAGACTTTTGTTCTGGAGAAATTCTCCTCTAAGCCGTGCTATATGCTCGTGGAGTTTTCCAAATTCACATGTTATTTAGCTGAAATTTAAGTTCAAAGAACGCGTTATATATTGTAAACACTACAGATAAAATTATATTTGATGGCTCCCTTTTACAAGCTTAGGCGTCAAAATCAATCGGAAATAATAACTCGGAAGTCTTAAGGCAAATTTTAAACCCTATCCTTATCTTTGCTTGCCTTTACGTGATCAACTATCATTATCGCCTAGCAGAATAAGGTGTAGTAAGTAGCAGTATACTTTCTTATCAGGAGTAGAGCTCGATATTGTTGTTGTTTGCATTTATCTTGAAAAAGCCATCCATCGGAAACGCCATGTTCATTATTGGCTTATTGGAATCACATACATTTACAGGCTTTTTTGCTCAAATTAGGCTTATAAACATTTAAATAAAAGGACAGACAGCAGCATACAGAGAAGGGCAACACGAAGATACTTCCATGGTAACAGCTGGATTTGAACCCGCTTCCTCCACGTTTTGCACAGTGTTTGGCGTATGATACCACTCAGCCAAGGAGGCCCCAAACGGCATGATGAATTTCACTTTCTTCGAAGTTACTTCTGGTACAAGTTAAATCTGTCGGGATCACAAAAAATCCTCCAAGTTCCCTTGTCAAATTATTACCTCTGAGGGTACTGGCTCAGAGATTGATGGATGAATGGATGGATGGTGTAAGAATGTGTCCTGCCAATAAAACGGGCTGTGGCTTACGTATGTGGCAAATGTCATATTATTGGCTCTACTAATTACCCTAAGCTAGAGCCCCTGAATTATTATTGATAGTATAGGAGCCTTACCCTAAATCGTTAATGGAAATACAGAGCTATAAGCTTACTCAAAGCTCTCGTCGCACTATTCCATAAAAGTGCGTAAGTGCGTCATAAATATAGAGAAAGCTACAAGCTAACGCAGAGAGTTAGGTGCAACTTTCCTCTATGCTTTCAACCATAAGTTTCATTAATAGAAAAACAGAGCTACAAGCTAACGCAAAGAACCCGTCGCACCTTTCTCCGATATACAAACCATCAAGAAGAAAAGCGCGTAAGTGTGTAAAGAATTCGAAATTTTGTTTGGACAAAATATATTTCAATTTAATAGAAATTTTTAAAAATATTTTAAACTAAGTTTTTTTATTTTTACGACTTATAATATTTGTTATCTTTTAAGCTTATCAACTCAATAATGGAGGAAAATCAGAGAGGAAGCTCATCAAATGAAGAGGTACTGTTATATTTGTATGATTTTTATATTATTATTTTTGCTTTTTTTAATTGTTAGTTTTCAGTTTTACCTTTACTCATCATAACTTTTAGGTATTTGTTTGTCAGTGCATAGTATTCTATAATTACTTCTGTTATGTTTCAATTTTAATAGTTTTACAAAGTTTTTATTAGTTTATTATTGTTAGTAGTATAAATATTTAGTTCTAAGCGTATTCATTTCAAACATTCCAGGAAAAGTCTTTCCCTCCCCCCTTAGATAAGTCTCTGCAATGGGATCTTCCGATTAGTATAGTTCTAGTTTCGGGGAATCCCCGGAATTTTAAACGGAAATCTCGTAATTTCTTACAGTGATAATCATTACCTTTTTAAAAATGAAGCAATAGTTAAAGGATTTTTAAGTTATTAAGAAACTACTTAGTAAGATTAATAAATTCTCTATAGTTCCTATAATTGGTTTTCCTATGTACTCTAATAAATGATCTTTATGGTAAACTTTTTTGTAACTATTGTACGTACGAAAACCTGGTTTATTATTGAGAATTAAATTCAATCGAGACAATTTTTAAATATTAAATGCTCTTCTGAAAAAATCTAACTCTCTATGGTTTATATTTACAACTTTATTTTTTTATCACTTAACTAAAGGTTAACCTTAGATCATTTTCAAAATAAAATGCCGTATCTTGATCTGTGGCAGAATAATCGCCAAGTCTTGGAAACTTCCGGGCAGTGGCCTATGAGAAACTTTAAAAAAAGAAAAACTTCACAGAAAGGGGCCATCTCAAAAGGTATAATTCATAGCCACCCCCGGGCAAACATCTACATGTTTTTTTTTATTTGCAAGTTTAAAATCTATTTGGTACCTTGGCGATTGCAGTTGGCATGACAGATCGCGATACGGAAATATTCCCAATAAAATTATTTATTGCAAAAGTGAGTAAATTATTAGTTTTAATTCCTAATTTGTTCATGATGATTTTAATGTTTTTAAAGTTGTTTGTATATTATTTTGAATTTGTTGTTCTGTATTGCTTCACCTAATTAAGTCATTGTAATTAGTTTATTACATATCCCTTTTATGTAACCGCAGTTTGGGAATATTTTAAAAATTTGATGTCTTTTTTTTTCCGACCTGGCTAAAATTAAATCTGATATCCCTGTTTTTAATTTCCCAAAGAAAATATTAGAGTAAAGCTATTATTTTCAATGAAGAAGAGCCTTTGAAAAATAAACTTAGGGCATTAACTACACATCATAATAAAATTATTGGTACTTACGTATTATCGCAACCAGGTTGGCGCGATTTGTGAGTTTGAGTAAGAAAGTATGAATAGAAGGAAAATGTACATTTATTAATTACAGATAATTTTTAATAGTTTTTTATATTATTTTATTCATATAACACGTAGGGTTGCCGTAAGTAGGGTCGCCAAATTTGGCGATTTATGCGAATTTTTGCCTGGTTGCGATAATACGTAAGTACCAAATTATTGATCTGTAATTTCTTTGTTTTCCTCTCCAGGATGAAATGTCAGGTGATGAAGAGACCGGAGAATCTGGTTTACAACCTGTAATGATAGAGAATTCTAAGGTAATAAATAGAAAGGAGTAAGAGTGTTTCATTTTTAAATGATATTTCTGTTTCTTGGAAAAATCTTTTACTACTCAAAAATCTCAAACAAAACTTTTAATTACAGTAGAACCTCGATTATCCGAGCTTCGATTAACCGAGGTTTCTGATAACCGAAGCAATAGCGAAGTCTAATTTTTTTTTTCTCCTTTCCAAAATGAGCTTGGAAAAAATGATACATATATTAGTTCGTTGTCCGTGTTACAGGCACTTCTACCCCACAAAAGCACTGAAGTTCAGTCATGTAAATTTTAGTAAGTTTAATTATGTAAATTTTAAAAATACATACTTTAAAAGAAGTTAAATTCGCAAGCACGGAGTGTTATTATACATGGTTTCTATTAACCGAGATTTCCGATATCCGAGGTACTAGCGGTCCCAATTAGCTCGGATAATCGAGGTCTTACTGTATCTCAAGTAACACTTGCCAACTACACTGTTATTGATTATTTTTATATATTGTATGTCAAATAGGAGTTGTTTCTGAGTAAATAAAGTAATATTGATGGAGCTATCAAGTAAATGCAAGGCATTATCAAAGAAGAAATATTATAGCCAGTAGTATTATTAGCTATTGCAGACCTATGTCCTTAGTGTTTACTTTTTTTGTGTAACACAACCAATAATTAATTGTGGCTCTTGATATTTGGATATGGCCTTAGGCATATTAACAGTTTCCATCAAAATTTGAGATAATGCTTTATTAGTATCTTTCAGTATATCTGATTCATCCCATATCTGGTCAAATTTTTACCAGAAATGTTCAGAAATAATTATTTTTAAATGTAAATAATTTTTTTCATTAACGTTAGAGATGTAACGAACATTCGGCCATTATTCAGTAGTTTGCTTTTTGCTGAATATGCTGCTAAGTATTTTTCAAAAATAATTTTTTTTTAAAATTTAAATAGATAAATAAATCTAATAATAGATAAATCTAATAAATAGATAAATCTAATAAATAGATAAATCTAATAAAGAGTAATCTAAAATTTTTTTTTTTTTTTTTTTTGAAATTTGGGTTGANAATTTTTTTTTTTTTTATTATGCATTTTTTGTTAAGTATTAAAACTTGCAAATTTATGTTCTGAAAGACAAGTGGGAAAGCTAAATTTGAAGAATAATTTTTTAAAATTGTATCTAGGCAGGTCAATTTTGTTGTTTTATAACTTTTTCTTTTAAGAATTGAGAATGTTTTTTATTATTATTATTATAGCATTTTATTAGAGCATTTCTAATAGACCCTATTCTTTTTTCATGTACAGTAAGACAATTTACTAGAAAACAGTGTTTTTCAACATTAAAGTTATATTTTAAAATCACTTAATTTATCAACTTTTCTCTTTCTTTCACTCAACCTTTTTTAAAAGCATTTCCTGATAATGTTATTCTTTTATTGTCACTTTTTCTACGAATACGTCAAATTGATAAAATGAAATTGGGATGTTTAAAGTTAAATTTTTTGTTCAATAATTAAAAACAATTTTGTTTTAGAGTCTATTAATTTAAAAAAAAATAATTGACATTTTTAAAGTGTCAGGGCAGTTAAGATTAGTTTGGATTCGAATTTATTCTCCTTTTTTTTTTTTTTTTTTTTTTTTTTTTTTTTTTTTTTTTTTTTTTGCAATACGGTCATTAGAAAACTGAGATGCTCAGTTTTAAAATTTTTATTCAAAAATTAGGATATTATAATATATAGGTTTTGTATTAGTTTTTTCCTCTTAACCCCTTATCAATACTATAGCAAAATTTTGATTATTTTTCAATAATGGCTAAACTTATTTATGTACCTAAAATAATATTTATTATTGATTTTTTTAAAAAATATATATATTGCTATTCGGCCGTTGAATATTCGGTATTCCGCCAAATTTTTGTAACACATATTCATTATATAGCCAAAGCACTAATCATTACATCTCTAATCAACAATTAATACTTTTGAATCTTCTTTTGTTTTACAACTTTTGTTGTTTTTTTGTTTCTTTCGTTGTACAAATATCCTCTAAATATTAGTTTTTTGTTGATATGTTTCTTGTGTAAAAGAAAAGGATTTAGGAATGTAACAAAACTGAAATTTCATGGGGAAAAAAATCTGCTTCTCTCTTTCTTAAAGAAAGAGCCAAAGCATTTCACGGAAATAGTCAAGCTACGCTATTTGATGAAACACATTGATACTGCAAAATTTCCTTGAAATTAGAAATCAGGAAGACTAAAAAAGGGGAAAATATTAATTGTTGTAAGAGCATATCTGTAAACTGATTGAGACCAACTTAGTGTAGCACGTACAGTGTATTGGCTAGGGATTCATTCATAGCATAACATATTTTAAGGGTGTATTATATTAGACACTAACTCAAATGGATTGCTTATAATCATGCAGCTCACGAAAAACAAAAGAAATCTTAATCATAATATATATATTTTCCAAAAAATTTCTCAATTATGATTATTACTTTCTGCCTTAAAAAAGAAACTAAATAAAAAGTTGAAATAAGTTCAAGGTGCACTTTCTCTCTATAGTATGCCAAGGAAATGATAACAAGCGTGTTAAAAATTTTGACTGTTTGTGAAATGATATAATTTGTGATTCATGAATTGTTATTTAATAAAATCACACAAGCATTGAAAGAATTGCAGTTTTATTTTATGATACTTATTGTTTCTTGGTTATGTATAAGGGTTGATTTTTTCAGATATCTGTTGAAAAATTCGACCCACATCTGTTGAAACGACGACCCATACATGAAAAAGAGAATAAACAAGCAAAATATAAAAAACAATCCTCAGATGTAAGTCATTTTCATATTATAGTAATATAAGAATTTTATATTTTTTCCAGTGTTTTGTTTATGCTTCATTCATTTTATGGCACATATATTATGGGTTTTTAGTTCCTTATTCAGATTGCTCTTGAAAATTAGTAATAATAAGTCAGATCTCAAGGTTAATGATTAGGCTTTTTATAATTTATTTTTCTCTTTTTAAAAAAATTTAAGTAAAATTTAAAGTTTTAGTTTGAAAACAAACTTTTTCTTAAATTAGAATACTTTTTTATACTTCATTATAAACTTTTTAAATTATGTACAGTGCCCCTGAACTATCAGCGACAAAACCCTCTAGCACTAATATCTTTCTGTAAGATACCTTTAATAATAACAAACATGTACAGAGAGAAGCAGACTCACTGGCTTAAGATGCTTCCTTGGAACCTTTATAGCCAGATATACCTTCCACTTTCAATGAGGTCTTTGCCGAGTGCAAAAAAATATTTATGGACCTCTGGAGGATTCCTCCTCTGCATAGTTGGTATTTCAGAAAACGTCCTGGAGGTGCCTTGCTTTTTGAGGAACCTAGAAGACAGCAGACTTGTTTAACTCAGTTTGCAAGTGGTCACTTGAGGTGTCTCTTGTATGTTCAGGGGCGAAAGACTTATGGACTTGCACTAAATGTAGGACTGCTCAGGCTTCGTCAGAGAAATCAATTTTGCAACAATAATTTAGATTTGAAGGGCTTTTTTATTATTTTAGAATTTAGCAAATCTTATTTCATTCATATTGTCATTTCAGAATAATATAATTTATCTCTTTATCATTCAAATAATGGAACTAGGCTATGTTTCGATTATTTGAACCCTAATTTATAATTTTGAGTTTTTATAGATAACCTAACCTGACTTAAAGTCACAGGCATGTTTGGGAGAACAGATAGTGTGTGTAAATAATAGAGATGCACAGAGTCCTAAAATTTTGTTGTGTCTGAATAGCCAAGGAAAATTTAATCTTTTACCCTGCTGATTCTGAGCACTTAGTAGAATTTGGATTTATGACCTGGCATCATATAAAAAAAAACAGTTTAATTTTGTATCAAACAAATATTTTACAAAATATCATTCTTAGGTAATTTATTTTGCTCTATAGATAAAAACATGTTTTTATTTTCAGATTTTTTAAATTAAATTTAAAGGAAAAAAATTTAGGGTGAAATTATCAGATAGATATAGAATGAGTAATGTAAAACTTTTTTGTGAAGTTGAGACCTGCTAGTGGCCATAATAAATTAATTAAAAAAATAAGTTTTGCCTTTGCAAATCGATGTTTAAAAAATCTCTTTTATTGCTCATAAACAAAATCTCAGCAAAATAAATAAATAAGAAGTTGCTGGTAAAGAGGAATAAATGTATTGTTAGGGAGGTTTCTGTGAAAATTTAAATTTTAGATGAGCCAAACTCCCGGAAAAATTTTTCGGAAAGTAAATTTTTGATTCATGGAAATCTGTAAAACAACGTCAAGATTCGGAAAATTCTTCAAATTAGTGAAAAAACACATGCTTGCTAAGGCAGCAACCTTTTTGTTAGATGACAAATCTTAAAAATATATATATAAATTTTTTTAGCCTATACAGAAAAGGAAGCCCTACGAGCAATGTAACCGTGATTTTGCCACAGGTTTCTAAATTGCGTCTATTTTTGGAAAACACATAGTTATTTAACTCATGGAAGGCCATTGAATTCTATAATTAAAAAAAATAGTGTTTTGTTAGACATCATCAAAAATGCCTAAAATTTAAAAATCACCCTCATATGTGAATCTATAATAGAAGGGAAATTTTAATGTTTAAATGTTTTTCGAATGTTAAAGGCAAAACTTATTTTGTAAAATAAACCATTTTGGGCAATTTGTCTTGTCCAATTTAGTCCCCCTTTTTTTCACTTTCCTGATCATTATTTGAAATAATTTCCACTTTTGTTATAAACAAGTTCTTTAACCTTGTTTTTCCTTCCTTCTGCAGCAGAATGAGGAAAAAAAGGCCCAAATCAGTAATACGGGCTCTCTAGTATCGCCCTACTCGTTTCTCCTCTGTATTCTTATCCTATGTGTTGTCGTCTCTGTCTTCTACCTGTATTGGGTAAAGACTTCTTACCCAATTAAAGACACTCAGTTGGACGTACAGGAGTTGATAAGTGACTTGAAGAGCAAATTTGAAGGCCAGCCCAATATTACCTATAAGATGATCGAGGCTGTCGTAAAAAGAGCTTCCAAAAATCCCGAATCTCCTGGTATAATCGTTTTGATATTCTCCAGGAAAACCAAGGACATCACCGACAAGTTGGCAAACCGATTAGTGCAGTTGGTGTCGGATCCTCACAATTTCGTGTTGATTGACTTCAGGTACTTTTCGACTGCCGAGCAGCTCAAGAGGGATATTGACGATACCATTCAAGGCAACTTGACCCAAGTGCAGCAAGTGAGAGCTGTCCTGGTGAGAAACTTGGATCAGATTCCTTTTGAGGCAGCCATGATATTCCACAGTTTGTGCGATCATGAAAACGCTCCCTTCAAGAGAGTCCTATATGTGATGACTGCTTCTGTAGAAGAGGAAACTATTCCTCCCGAATCCGGGCAATGGGACAAACTAGCCTCCAAACATCTGAAAGCCGCATGGAGAGACAGCGGCGAAGACCAAGTAGCTTCTCTTATTAGCAGACTGACAGTCAATGTGGCCGCTGTTGTTTCAAAGGAATGATGACACGTCATAAGTTGCAGTATTTTTTTTCTGCGATAAAATGAGCTTTTACTCATATCAGATATAAACTGAAATGAAAAGTACTGAGACAGTAAAATATTTTTCAGAGTATTATGTGTATAACTTACTCATTGGATTTTTTTTTTAATTTGAAATTTTTCATGATTTTTTCTTTTCTCTATTAAAATTTATTCTAATTTAAATTCATTGGTCCATATATAGATGAACCAAAAAGTTATCTAATGATATAATTGATGTTTTGTTTTCCTATGTTTATATTCTCGTGTTTAAATAATTTCTTGGAAATTAAATAATTCTTATGTTTTCAATAAATGAAAAACATTTTTAGTTTTACTAAAGATATTTAAAACTTTATTAGTCACCCCTTTTGTAAGAAAAAATATTTAATGCATTTTACTGTAAAATATCATAAAAAAACTTGCATGATATTATTTTGATATTGCACACTGTCAATATACGGCATTGAGATAAGAAATGCATTAACAAATGAATTGCAGGAAAAAGTATTTTAACCTTATTCATGTGTGTAAATAGCAAAATACTTTTAAATGTAGAAACATTTTTTTACATGCCAAATGACTGTTTTTGTATAGTATATAAAAAAATATACTTGTTCTTCTAATTGCTTTAAAAAAGATACTATTTAAATGTTAAGTTTTGTTACTCATAATTGTATTTTCACTTTTTATACAATTCAATGTATTGTTATGTAGCCCAAAATAAAATATTTTGTTCATAAATTATGGTGATTAAAGTTTAATCATGTTATTAATATCAATCATAATGATAATTTTTTTAGCATTTGTTTGCAGTTAATCATTTGTTTGCAGTTAGTTCAATAAATACAAATAGATACTCCACAACATCAGCTGAGTTGGGCTGCCTTGGTGCTGAATGACTTTTTAATGGAATCTGACATAGTGCTGGGAGTGAACAAAAGCATGGATCTAATATGATTCAGTTTAGAAGATTTAACTAAATCCCTTAGGTTCTAAATTTTTTTTATCTATATACAGACGCAATTTCTAAACGATACAGCTTTGCTAATGATTCTTCACTTGAACGTCTGATTATGCTGTTTACTGGGTTAATCAACCCCCTTCTCATTTGACTTATACCAAAAATATCTAAAAATGTTAATTACTACTTTGTTTAAAATTGTGGAAATGTACTGAGTCCAAAAATTTTGCGTGCGGAAGCGAACCTTTTGTCCGGTCGAGTAATAAAACATTTACGGTAAAACAATATAAAATGACTACAATTTTCTATCAAACTAGTAATTAGCAAAATATAGCTCTAAGGAATTATTATAAATGCGTGTTTTTTATTTCTTTTAAAACTAAATTTTGAAAAATGTTTCTAAAAGAAATTTGGGACCCATAATTAAAGTAAAACTTAGCTATGAAGTGGAGACTAATAGTAAAGTTAATTCATTTGATTTATTGAAATTTTCTATAAATTTATTAATTTAACTTCTATTAAACGTAAAGATAATTTCTCGATTCAAGTACAATCCCACTGTACTTGAAAGTCCTTAAATTTTGTTGAAAAAAATCAGGACTCTGAAAAGTCCTTGAATTCTGCCATAGGGGAGTTGAAAAGTACTTGATATTTTAGGAATTAAAATAATACTAATCTTTCTTATAAAAAAGCAGTAAAAAATAATTAATAAATTCAAAGGAAAATTATGGAAATTCTGATAGATGCAACTTTTAATGCTTGAAGTGTAAAAGGGAAGGAGATACAAAACTTTTCTCTAAGAGTTTTCACACCAGGTTATTGTTCATCTCTCTGATGTTTTGAAAGCTGAAATTTCTAGCAAATATTTGGTTTTGTAGTCATAGTTTACGAATGATATATAGTATTTAATTGATTTAGAGATATGTTCAATGTGTTAACTTCATTATTACGACAGGTTAGTATTATCTTATTTGTTATTTTAATTTATGTACAAAAATAATTAATTTTTTATTATTTTACAATCAGATTTTTACAATTAGCTTTTACTGCTAATAATTAAAATTTAGTTCTACAGGTTTCATTGATTATGAATAAACGTCGGGATTCACATTAAACTGATTCTTGATTTACGTATCGGAATTCATATAAAATTTTCTATGAATTGCGATTTAAATGAAAGTGATTAATGAATCACATATCGAATATTACTTTAAAGTGGTTTTTAAATTACTCATGAGAATTCATGTTAAGGTATTTTATAAATCACACATCAGGATTCACATTAGAGTGATTTATTAATCACACATCATGATTTCAATTAAAATTATTTCTGAATCATATAACATATGTATTTAAGTAATTTCAGCCTCAATTCTCATTCTAATTGTTTACAAGTCACACATTGCGATTCACAAAAGAGATAATTAAGAATTACCACTCACAATTCTCATCAAAATGATCTAAGAATCACACAGCTGTTCTATATTAAGCACCTTTCGAATTGCAATTTACATTATAATTGATCACTATTCACATTAAAATGATTTATGTATCACACATTGTGATTTACGTCTTGTTAGTTCATGTGTTTTGTATCATTTGCTATTCATATTGTTCCGATTTAAGAAACATACACCGCAATTCAATTTAAGAGTCACACATTGTGATACGTAATGTACGCAATCTTCAAGACTTACTTCACCATTCTTATCATTTTGATTTACCTATAGTATATCTAGATTCGTATAAATGTGACTTGAAAATTATGCTTATTCCCAAATTTGAAAAATCATGCTTCACATTTCATGCTCCACATTTATTAAAATCTATATAATTTGTTATTAAAATTGAAACAGATATGTTGAATGGATATATTTTGATATTTTATCTTATTATATGCATTTCCTGTAACCTAAAATTTGATCTAACATATTAAAAAAAAAGTTTTTTTAGCTTATAACCGTAAAAATACACAAACTTGATCAATTATTTACTATGCTTGTTTAATGAATATGCATCATTCATTCATTCAGTTTCATTAATTCTAATCTAATAATTAGAATCATTAATTCTAATTCTTCATAAAATTTTTCATGAAAAGTTTCACTAGTTTTTAAATCTTGACTACTATCCTATGTCAATTTTAAGTTGTTTTTTTTTGTCAATTGGAATTTTTTTAAATGATTTGAAGCAGTCACAAATCACTTAGTGATTTAAAACAGCTATCAACCTTTTGTATTATTAGCTGATAAATATAATAATTTTTTTTGTTGTCAAATTACAGGGTGGCCACCCACCTGGAGAACCTTGAAAACCTGGAATTATCAGGGAATCTTTTTATACTGGAAATATCAGGGAAATTTGGATAAAAACCTGGAAAAATCAGGGAATTTTAAAGAAAAGCTGGAAATTTTTCTTTGATAATTTTTTTAATTTCACTAATTTAAATTATTTGCTAATTTTCTTAATTTAAATTATTTCATCCATTATACCCACTTTTTTTTAACCGAAATGTATCGCCAAGCAGTTGAAATATCATCAACTTAGCAATACTTTGCTTGCATCAAAATTTGCTCCATTACAGCTGTTAAACTAGAATGCCACATAAAATTCTCCTACTGTTGCTAAACGAATGCAGAAACCTTTGACCGCTATGGGACTGCGCAATTTAGGAAAGATTCTGGTGTAGTTGGAAAAAGATTTAGGATATTAACTTCTATTTTTAAATACTGTCTTTGGGCTGAATCCATTTATGGCTCAAGTTTGTTCCGATGCTTTGGTGGTTATTTTTTTTTCCGATTTTGACAAAATGTTTTTGTATTTTTAACTTTATAAAATTCTCCAAAAATTAGTTGGTTAAATTTTATGATAATAGATTTTATATCGCACTCTTTTTCTTTTTCTACTCCCATTCAAAGAAATCTGTGAATTATTTTTTCTGAGCAAACCAACGAATCACACATTTTTTTACAATCGCTAACAGCAATGTTTGTCGACAAATTGTTACAATTGTTGCATTAATGGCAATTTTTTCTATTTCATTTTAACCTCTTATAACATATTTTAATTTTAAAAAAAGGCTCCTTTGTTGGTCAATATATGATTTTTGATTCAAAATTTTGTACCAAAACATTAAAAAATAAATAAAAAATCTTGAAAATTGTCAAAATAAATTATTTTTTTCAAGTATGATATGTTAAAAAAGTAACATTTTGAATAAAATATTTTATAATATAGACACTTTTCTTGTACACATCCTATACTTTATAAGAAAAAAGAAACAAAAACCTGGAAATTTTAAGATTTTTATCTGGAAAACCTGGAAAAATCAGGGAAATTTGAAATCTGATT